CTGCTCCTTGGAAATCCTATACAGGGTCACTATGGGTCAGATCATGGGTCAGAACTGACTCGAACACACTTAACAGCACAGCAGCATTTCATTTTTGACAACTTAACAATTTTCTTAAATACATACTTTGTGTATTCCACATTCCATTTATTAATGTATATTTGCAGCTTTTCCTTCTCATTTTGAGTCATGTACTATCAGCAAATGAATGTCCCAAAAACTTTGCTCTGTCCACATAATTAAGGTCAACTCTGCTCTGAGGAGGCAACTCAATGGGGGTTTGGTCAGTTTGGGTAAAATGTGGATATAATGTGCTGATAAGTGTTGATTAGAGTTGGCAATTAGAGTTGTTGATTTTCTAAATTGTGGAATTCAGAAAAGTGTTACTGTATTTTGGGTAATTGTTAACAGATTTTGGAGTTTTGGCTTTTGACATTTTATATCTATTAGGATAAAAGAATGCTTTTCAAAGAACTAAAAAATGAACAATATTCTAATAATAATTTCTAAGATTATTATATAAAACATTTATTTCTTTAGCTGCTGAATTTTTCTTTTTAAGTTCATTTATTAAAGAATAATATGGGTACCTATTTCCTGAAATTAGAATGTAGCATGGAATTAAATAGCATTTCTAATTATTTAGGAAAAGTGGCTTTAGAATAAGCACTGGATTTGAAACCATAGGGTCAACAGTTCGAGTCTACCAGCTACTCTGTGGGGAAAAGATGAGGGTTTCTTCTCCCACAAAGATTTAGAGTCTAGAAAACTCATGTTGGATCTCTATGAGTTGGACTTACTGGATGGTACTTAACAACAACAATAATTTACCTATAGCTTCCATTTTGCCTGATAAAAATACTTTTTGACTTCCTAGAACTTATAAAAGAGGGTGTTGAAAATGGTTTAAGTCCTGGATTAATAGCCTAAAGGTTGATGGTCCAGACTCACCCTGACACACTTCATCAGTAAGACTTGGTGATCCTGCTTCTGTAATGTCACCTCCTTAAAAACGACAATACAATTAGACTCTGCACATATGGGTTCACCATGAGTCACAATAGATTAGATGATAACTAACAACAACATATTACTAAGAGGGTTAAGTTCATTTAATGGACTAATGAGCCAATTATATTGTTGTTGTTGTTAGGTGCCATCAAGTCAGCACCAACCCATAGAGACGTTATACACAGCAGAACGAAACATTGCCCAATCCTGGGCCAACTTCACCACTGTTGCCACACTTGAGTCCATGGATGCTGCCAGTTGGCCAATTCATCTTGTTGGTGGTCCCCCTCTGTTTCTCTGACCCTCCACCTTACCAAACATGATATCCTTCTCCAG